TTGGATGTCCCAGATAACACGGCTTCATTTGAGTATCCAGCTGATTTCATTGAAAATAATTTTTCACAAGTGAATAAAGATATTGCACAACGTCCAAAGATTTGACTATGCATATCATAAATAATATTGGCATTCATATATTTATCACAAGTCTTTACAGGCATGCAGCACCAACTTCATATGGAAAAACTATAAACTAAGCGAAGCTCCTACTTCAATGAACTCAATACCATTATCATTCCATACCACCATTACGTATCTCATGATATTCCCTCCGTCCCACAACTATAATCATATTTTGTATAGGAACAAGTCAATTTTTACAAACTTTGAATAACAATTACTCAAATTATATACAAGTTTAGGATATAAAATATACATCAATAGATTTGCATTTGAAGTGCCTCAGATGACATTGATCCATTAGCAATTGACAACATATTGCGGTAAAGGTCAAAGTCTGTTTTGTATGACTTTCCCCTGATCTAAATACAATTATTGCAATAGCAAGATAACTATCTAAACTTGAAGTAGGAAACATGGTTTCATAAACTCAGATTGCTACCTTTCTGTTTTCTCTCATTTTCAATATCATTGGCAATATGTTGTCAATGACATTGTACAGGATCCCATTGGCACTACCCATAATATAGACTGATTACCAGCTACGTCAACGATGATGGGAAAGAAATTGTTTTGCTGGACTAGAAGAAATCTTAATTCTTGTTAACATTAAAAAAACTTTCAAGAACTTGATACCAACACTAATCAAGAACTAGGAAGATAGCTACACAAAACATCGCTTCAATCAACTTGAAGAGCAACAAACTAAGATAATTAATAGAAAGAAGCATTCCTGTACGATTAAACGCAATATATTTCATAGTTCCATGATGCAAATACTCATCGATTATCTCTGGAAATTCCCCTAGTATGGACCTACAAGAATGCATTGCATATATATAGATTTTTAATATCTGGGAGATATATATTTTTGCCCATGTTTTTAATTGTAACACCCCAAAATTTGATTTTTTGGAAATGGAGCTAAAAACATTTAATTTGAAATTTTTGTGCACATGAAATATATGGAAAAAGAAAAATTTTCATTAAATAAAAATTCATCATAAGATAGCAACATGTTTGTGCATACATACCGGTGCATTTGTTTCTTTGAATTGTGTGGATTTGATTCAAATTGAAAACATTCAAAATGCTTATGGAAATGAATTTGAAAATGGCTTTGAAATAAAAGAAAAGAAAATTTGAAAATAAAAGTGTTTTCAAAGTTGAAGAATTTATTTTTGAAAAACTTACCAAAAGTTCTCATTTCTATTCGAGTGAAAAGTATATTTGAAACTCTATTTGAATTTGATTTGGCTTACATTTGAAATTGGTTTTGAAAACAAAATAGAAAAAAATGGAAATTGGGAAAACTCCTCTCATTCCTAGCCCGAAGGCCTGCTCGGCCTGCTTCTCTTTTTCTTTCATGCCCACTCTGTTTCCGCTTCCCTTGACCCAGCCTTGTGCAGGCCAGCTCCTCTAGCTCCTTCCTTGCCACAAGACGGCCCATCTCGCGTTCTGGCCCATTTGCTGCCGCCAATAAGCCCAGCTGTGACGCCCTTGCCGCTTCCTTCTCCTCTTCCTTTGTCGCCGACCGCCCGGGCCCGCCCGTCAGCTCTGCCTCCTACCTCGGTTCATCATCAATCTGGACTCGCACAGAGGCTGTGCCCGTCCCATCCACGCCCCCTCTCACCCTTAGCAGTACTCGGCCCTTAAATAGCAGCCTCCCCGTTGCCCTGTCGTCCCCCACCGAGGCCTAGGACCACCAGCCGCGCCGCCAGGAACCCTAGCGCCGCTGTCCAGGTTCCGCCGAGAAGAAGCCATCACCGCCGGGTCATCCCGCCGTCCCTCCGTCACGGTAAGCACGTCCTAGAGCTTCTAGCCGAGCTCTCTAACCCGTACAACCCCTTTTCTCCCTCTGTTTCCCTCTGTGCTATTTTGTTTCACGTAGCAGTTGCTCCGCCGCCGCCATAGGTCGTCGCTCGCCGTCTCTGTTCGCCCATAGCTGCAATTGATTGCCGATTCGAGTTCGTAGTGACCTTATCCGTCTCCCTGTGCCAAATCAGAGTTGAATTAGAGCCCTAGTCACTTTGTCCAATAGCTCTGGCGAGCTCGCTTGCTACCGGCCATGGCGCCACCGCCTGGAAGCGCCGCTCCGGTGACCCCATCCCCTCCGGTCCGATCTCAACCGTCTATTCCCGATCCAATGGTCCAGAATCCCGATACCCCTTCGCGTGGCTTAATTTCATAAGAGCCCCTTGGTTTCTTTAAAATAGAACCCACGGTCCATTGCGTATTTCACAGCTTATGCTTTCTTCTTTTAAAAGCGTATTTTGTTCGGTTGACTTCAAAAATACGTATTCCTGATTTACAGATTTGCCACTGATTTTGTTTTAACCATGAAATTCCTGTTTTAACTCCATCTTGATCCATTCAAGTTGCATTAGATTCATAATTGAGTAATCTACATGTTCATCCTACTGTTAAATATATTTTCAACTTTTGAAATTCAAGGTTAGATTTAATCTATTATTTTATTAAAGAAAATTTTGTTTAATTCATAACTTTTTTGTTATAGCTCCAATTAGAGTGCTTTTCGCGTCTGTGTGTTCATAATGGGACATAGATTCGTTTTTACAAACTTTTCATCTTGATTTTATGTTTGGTGTACTGTTCTAATTCAGATCTATTGTTTGCTTCGTGTATGATATGAGGATGATTGTGTGGTGCTTTATGATCATGTCCAGTCGGTGAGAAGTACGATGATGAAATAGAAGAAGTTGATAATCCAGAAGTCTTTTGGAGGTTACAATTCAGTAGAAGAAGGATATGAGTTTTAAGGCAAGTATAGCATGGAATATTCCTTGTTGTTCTATACACCTTTAATCATTTTATTCATACTGCATATGTCTACCATGACTACCACTAAGGATTTCCTAGTACTTTATACCTTGTGCCTTGATACCTTTGGGTTATTGCATTGGGTAGCTTTGCGAGTGCTCAACTAAAGCCATGATCTTGTAACTTGACTAATGGTATATGCAATAAATACTAAAAGATGTTTTTTAGCAACATGGAACAAGGGGGCTAGAGCATTGGGCTATTTTTATGGTGCTCTAGATTTCTCTCCCTAAGGATTTATCTGTAAGCGAACTCACATGATTTATAGTATAACCATGAGGACTACATGGCTCTGGTCTTAGTCCAGTACCTTGCTATTTCTAGTTTGTAGCAGTTTACCGAAATGGTAAGAGGGGTATACCAAGCTGGGTATGGGTCTCATCCCCAGGGTGTGTACTATGCTGCGTGTATCAGTGCCACTTTTAGAGATGACTCCATAACACTTGGGAGATGGAATCCTTAGCGACTGCTCCGTATTAGAACAACTGGGGAAAAGCTTCGTAGTGTATCCTGTCTGCTCACCTTAGAAGTGTTTTGGGAGTAATTAACCCGGGTATATGGGTTACACGACTCATGGTGAAAGTGTACAACCTCTGCAGAGTGTAAAACTGTTATAACAGCCATGCTCACGGTCACGAGTGGCCTTGGACCCTTATGGAATAGATGAAGAACACATATGATACCGATGATGAAGATGCACACTTATGATTACTGATTATGCTATTCATTATTCATGTTTACCTGATCATGTGTTTATATGAGCTTGTGAATAAACTTGTTGCCACCCTATTGCTAAAATCATGATTCATTAAAAGCTAATCGCAGTTAACCTGTGTCAGCCTTTTGAGTCTCATGTACCCCATATTATATTTGTTGAGTACGACATGTACTTATGCTTACTTTACTTCTTAAATCTTTGAAAAAATCCCGGATGGGTACCAGATTGTTAGTCTGGAGGAGTTAGGCTTGTGATCAACCAGTTAGTTGTCCCAGTGAATTGGAGTCTTCACCCGAAGATCGGAGTTGTCTTTCCGCTGTTTGCTTTCTAAAGTTATATCTTTTATACTAAGTACGTTATATATTGAGCATTGCCTTTCGATGTTACCCTTATCTGTAGCTATATGTGAGATTTGACTTCCTGGGCTTACATATGGTGTGTATCTGGTTTTGTTCTTAAAACCAGGTACTACATTAATCAGCATAAAAAATCTAGGAACACAATATATGCTACTGTATTTCACAGCTACCAGGAATGCCTTAACTTCCTTCACTGAAAATAACTGAAAATTTTGGTTCTGTGACACCAAAAGATCACACTGCTAGATATATAACATTCTGTGGCATTTGCCATCCAACTACGGTCTCTCCATAGCTGTGCATGTCGATCATTCTAGCTGTAGACCCTCCGCAACTATGGCACATATCACCGCACCCCAACCCAGCTGTGCCTGAAGCCTGCGCAGTGCTGCCCTCCACTACTCAAAGGCACAGCACAGCCGGCCGCCTCTCAACAAAAAGCTGTGACACCCTAGCTCAGGTCCACCAGATGCCGCCTAACAACCCCGCACCACAGCGTGCCTCTGCCCGAAACTTGCATCGACATGTCCAATTTGGCAGCTCATCTCTCTCTCAAATCGGAAGGATCATCAGCGCTTGCTGAATTTGCCTCCCTCAGTTAGCAGCAGAAAAATAGTGCTAAGCTTTGAGCAAATCACCTTGTGCTGCACAGACCCCGCTGAATTGTAAAAAAAACCGGAAAAAGAGCAACCTAGCAATTACACCGACTAGCAATAATCAAATCGCAGAAAAAGTAGGGGACGAATCGGATTGAAGTAACAGTAGATATTTGGTTTAAGATTGTATCAAATCGGATTGAAATGATTTAAGATTGTTTGATGGTATATTTCTAAAATTGAGACAATCTTTCAATGTCACAGATCCAAATTTCCATAAAATGAGATGTTTTGCACAATAAATATACATTGGTGATTATTACAAGAATGCTGATTGCAAGACATTAAACATAACTAGCTAGACTAGCAAGCTACATGTGGCTGCTTCTGATCTGCAAACTTCACTCGCACGGGACGCCCGTCCAAAATCTGAAAAATTGATCCAAAATGAACAGTTTATCATGCATGTGTGTCTAGGTGATCCTTCATTCATTCATTCATGGAATTGATTGGCTAATTAGCTATTCAAAAAAAAGTAAGCATCAATAAATATGTACCTGTCCATCCAGCTTAGCAATAGCATGTTCCTGCTCATGCTCATGATCAACTACAGTCGCCAAGGTCACAAACCCAAAACCTCGTGAACGCTTGGTTTTTATGTGGCACATGACCCTTGCTTCTGCTACCTTGCCATACTTGCTGAAGAACTGTCCCAGTCGATAGCTATCCACATTCCGTGGCAGATTGCCCACATAAATCCTGAAATAAGGCCCGAATTGTGGCCCTCCTGCAGCCTTTGTGTGTGAAGGCTCAATCATCTCTCTAATTTCCTGCATGTGCATGCAAATGAAAGTTACTACTAATGAATGCTTGTAAGTAGAATATATATATATATATTAGCTATAAAAATAAGTTATTCTGTAGCCACCTCCATTTACGATAATTTTATATACTAATTTACGATAATATCAATACATATTTACGATAGTTAGGTTATTCTACAGCTGGCCACAGAATAACTTATTCTATGGCCACCTTGATTTACGATAATGTTTGTACCAATTTATATGCAGACAATACACATTTACGATACATGGGTTATTATAATTCAAGATGATACTTATCATAATGCTATAGTAAATCACTTATGAGGGAGTTAACATAATCTCGTAAATTAACTCAAAGTGGTCACAGAATAACTTATTCTGCTGCCGACTTCTGTAACAAAGACGCTATATATATATTCTGTATACCACTTATGATATGATATGATATGATAAACAGATATGAATTGTTCTTCTAGAAACACTACAAATTCTGTATAAACAATTAAAGATGAGATCGTGCAATCTCAGATTTGCACTTGATTACCTCAGTTGAAGCGATGGAAGGTTGTGGCGGCGTGAGCCACATGCAGGCGTCGTTGTCCCATTCAGCCGGGAGCTGCTCGATGAGTTCTGACCTATGGTCCAGGAAGCTGTACTTGAACACACGGCAGCGTTTGACGGCCAACTTGCTCCAGATCCCCCCATAGAGCTCGCTCTTGAGGACGAAATAGGCGCAGCCACCACCACTGATCTCGCCAAACCGCGCGGCATCCACAGCAAAGCTGCTTGGACTCCCGAGGAACATGACGCGATCAGCCAAGCTCGGGCCGTCCCTCTTCACCCACTGTGTTTTTCCGCTTTCCGCCTCCTGCAGCACGTGGACTGAAACCGACAGCCCGTCCACAAAGCTGGCTATGGTATAACTGTGCGCATGATTTGCTAGGACATTTGCTAGAAGAAGCTCCCCTCGAGACTCCAAGAGGTAGCTTGCCTGCAATGCCTTGCCATAATGAGATGGCAGTGGGGTTACCCACTGGCTGTGGTCGACCTGCCTTGTCTCAATGTAGTGCGAACACCAGTTCCTGTAGCGTGCGACGATCTTCCCATCGTGATGGGCAATGCAGCTGCAGGGGTCGTCTCCTATGGAGGATATGCCCAGGTACTGTTTATGCACCATTGTCCACGCCGTATCGCCAGGACGCAGGAGGGCAGCGTTGAACACCGGCAGGTAATACGACCTGCGGTGGACGGGACCAAACAAATATAGAAAGATTGTGCCGTCGCCGCAGACCACGGCATCGGCGTGGTCCACCCACCACTTGGTCTCGTCGTCACATGAAAAGGGAGGTAGGGGTAGGGGTGTGGCCGATGCAGATGAAGCAGATCCAGTGAGAGGGTCGGCGACATCGACGCCGGCGGTGAGGCCGCTGCCGCTAGGGCCGGAACCGGAACAGATACTGGTGAGGGTAGAGACGGCAGTGCCGTCTACCAGGCTGATCACCCACCTCCTATCTCGAACCGATATCTCAGTGGCGGCGCTGGTGCCACGGCGGGTCGATCTGGAGGAGGCGAAGACGCAGCGAGCCATCCGGTGCTTGGCGGAGTCCGGCGGCGCGAGTAGCCATGGCTGGAACGCGGGATAGCACGGCGCCGGCGGAAGCGTGTAGCGCCAGGGCTTGCACGTGGCGTGGAAGCGGACGTAGTCGGTGGTGGCGTGGAGGCGGCGCGAGATGTCGCGGAGGAGATCCAAAGGGAGGTCCGCCCATGGCCGCCAGAGCGCGTCGTCCGGCAGAGCTGCTGCGTCAGGCATCACGAATCCGGGATCCCTCCCAACAAGGGCTGCATCGTGGTTGAGTTCTTATTCTTAATGTCAAGGGCTGGGCTGGGCTGGGCTGGGCCGTCAGGACACATCCCAAACTGTCAATGATTTGTCAGTAGCCGAGGCAAGCAAACGGTGGCCACACTTGGACCAGCAGACGCTTGTTATAGGTGCAGTGCAATCTTTATCGCAAAATTATCTCGCAATCACCCTTGTTTCGAAGTCCCTGTCTCAATACCACCTACCAATCACGGCTTCCTAGCTTAGCGGCGTTAGTGCACCTTCCTTGCTCCTCAGTGGATAGCACTTTCTTTCGATAAATTGGCAGGGACAATGCGCTAATCAAAAGAGGATTTTAAGTCCTCTGCTCTAACCAGCCAGAACCAAAAAGGAGGATGATTTCTTGCATCATAGGTGTTGCTGCGTCTTGAGTACCTAATTGTCATGGTTTCGCAGCATCACAAAGAGCGATTGTGAGGAATCGACATTCTAATGAAAGAAGAATCAATGGAATTTCCCATCTTTTTCAGCTCTGCTTCCAAAACAAATGAGAAAGGAGACTGATCTTGACGTCGACATTGGTTTTTCCAACGAAAAACAAGAACATTCGAACATGGACTTCAATGAAAAAAACAAAATGCTAGTTGCTATTCCGCGTTTGTCCCATGGACTTTGGCCAATGAGATTACTATACGCTTTTTCAGAGGAACTTGAAAAGTACATTCCATACCACCACAAGGTACCAGGAATGCCTTAACTTCCTTCACTGAAAATAACTGAAAATTTTGGTTCTGTGACACCAAAAGATCACACTGCTAGATATATAACATTCTGTGGCATTTGCCATCCAACTACGGTCTCTCCATAGCTGTGCATGTCGATCATTCTAGCTGTAGACCCTCCGCAACTATGGCACATATCACCGCACCCCAACCCAGCTGCGCCTGAAGCCTGCGCAGTGCTGCCCTCCACTACTCAAAGGCACAGCACAGCCGGCCGCCTCTCAACAAAAAGCTGTGACACCCTAGCTCAGGTCCACCAGATGCCGCCTAACAACCCCGCACCACAGCGTGCCTCTGCCCGAAACTTGCATCGACATGTCCAATTTGGCAGCTCATCTCTCTCTCAAATCGGAAGGATCGGCGCTTGCTGAATTTGCCTCCCTCAGTTAGCAGCAGAAAAATAGTGCTAAGCTTTGAGCAAATCACCTTGTGCTGCACAGACCCCGCTGAATTGTAAAAAAACAGGAAAAAGAGCAACCTAGCTAGCAATTACACCGACTAGTAATAATCAAATCGCAGAAAAGTAGGGGACGAATCGGATTGAAGTAACAGTAGATATTTGGTTTTTGTTGCCCTTATAAGCTAAAAAAAGACGAACTAATCCAAGGCCAGATCTGCACTTCCTGGGCCAACTGAGCAGAAGAGGGGCTGCGACAATAAATGCCCATAAAAAGATACAGGGAAAGGAGGAGAGCGCTGTGAAGCAGGCATGGTGTAGTGTAAAGAGACAAACCTTCAGCGTTGTGCTGAGGTGACCTTGCCATGTGGCAGTAACAGCTAGCTATCAGAGAAAACGGGCTGCACGGAGGAGAAAGAAGCACTGAATCGACTGTCACTTAAAAGAAAACGGCAGGACTGTGATGCGACTGGGTTGATAAACAAGGTAACCGTCTGGCATATTAGTAAACAGCCCTGGATTTTGGAGGTATTGAAATGATTTAAGATTGTTTGATGGTATATTTCTAAAATTGAGACAATCTTTCAATGTCACAGATCCAAATTTCCATAAAATGAGATGTTTTGCACAATACATACACATTGGTGATTATTACAAGAATGCTGATTGCAAGACATTAAACATAACTAGCTAGACTAAGCTAGCAAGTTACATGTGGCTGCTTCTGATCTGCAAACTTCACTCGCACGGGACGCCCGTCCAAAATCTGAAAAATTGACCCAAAATGAACAGTTTATCATGCATGTGTGTCTAGGTGATCCTTCATTCATTCATTCATGGCATTGATTGGCTAATTAGCTTTTTAAAAATAAAGTAAGCATCAATAAATATGTACCTGTCCATCCAGCTTAGCAATAACATGTTCCTGCTCATGCTCATGATCAACTACAGTCGCCAAGGTGACAAACCCAAAGCCTCGTGAACGCTTGGTTTTTATGTGGCACATGACCCTTGCTTCTGCTACCTTGCCATACTTGCTGAAGAACTGTCCCAGTCGATAGCTATCCACATTCCGTGGCAGATTGCCCACATAAATCCTGAAATAAGGCCCGAATTGTGGCCCTCCTGCAGCCTTTGTGTGTGAAGGCTCAATCCTCTCTCTAATTTCCTGCATGTGCATGCAAATGAATGTTACTACTAATGAATGCTTGTAAGTAGAATATATATATATATATATATATATATATATATATATATATATATATATATATATATATATATATATATATATATATAGAACCACTGTTCTGCAGCTGGCCATAGAATAACTTATTATGTGGCCACTTTGAGTTACGATAGTTACTATGCTAATTTACGAGACTACAGTAACTCTTTACTAGGTGATTTACTATAACATTATGGTAAATATCACCGTGAATTGTAGTAACACAAGTATCGTAAATGCATATTCATGTTATCGTAAATTGGTATAAACATTATCGTAAATCAAGGTGGCTATAGAATAAGTTATTCTATGGCCAGCTGTAGAATAGTCTTACCATATATATATATATATATATATATATATATATATATATATGATATAATAAACAGATATGAATTGTTCTTCTAGAAACACTACAAATTCAGTATAAACAATTAAAGATGAGATCGTACAATCTCAGATTTGCACTTGATTACCTCAGTTGAAGCGATGGAAGGTTGTGGCGGCGTGAGCCACATGCAGGCGTCGTTACCCCATTCAGCCGGGAGCTGCTCGATGAGTTCTGACCTATGGTCCAGGAAGCTGTACTTGAACACACGGGAGCGTTTGACGGCCAACTTGCTCCAGATCCCCCCATAGAGCTCGCTCTTGAGGACGAAATAGGCGCAGCCACCACCACTGATCTCGCCAAACCGCGCGGCAGCCACAGCAAAGCTGCTTGGACTCCCGAGGAACATGACGCGATCAGCCAAGCTCGGGCCGTCCCTCTTCACCCACTGTGTTTTTCCGCCTTCTGCCTCCTGCAGCGCGTGGACTGAAACCGACAGCCCGTCCACAAAGCTGGCTATGGTATAACTGTGCGCATGATTTGCTAGGACATTTGCTAGAAGAAGCTCGCCTCGAGACTCCAGGAGGTAGCTGGCCTGCAATGCCTTGCCATAATGAGATGGCAATGGGGTTTCCCACTGGCTGTGGTCAACCTGCCTTGTCTCAATGTAGTACGAACACCAGTTCCTGTAGCGTACGACGATCTTCCCATCGTGATGGGCAATGCAGCTGCAGGGGTCTTCTCCTATGGAGGATATGCCCAGGTACTGTTTATGCACCATTGTCCACGCCGTATCGCCAGGACGCAGGAGGGCAGCGTTGAACGCCGGCAGGTAATACGACCTGCGGTGGACGGGACCAAACAAATATAGAAAGATTGTGCCGTCGCCGCAGACCACGGCATCGGCGTGGTCCACCCACCAATTGGTCTCGTCGTCACATGAAAAGGGAGGTAGGGGTAGGGGTGTGGCCGATGCAGATGAAGCAGATCCAGTGAGAGGGTCGGCGACATCGACGCCGGCGGTGAGGCCGCTGCCGCTAGGGCCGGAACCGGAACAGATACTGGTGAGGGTAGAGATGGCAGTGCCGTCTACCAGGCTGATCAGCCACCTCCTATCTCGAACTGATATCTCAGTGGCGGCGCTGGTGCCACGGCGGGTCGATCTGGAGGAGGAGAAGACGCAGCGAGCCATCCGGTGCTTGGCGGAGTCCGGCGGCGCGAGTAGCCATGGCAGGAACGCGGGATAGCACGGCGCCGGCGGAAGCGTGTCGCGCCAGGGCTTGCACGTGGCGTGGAAGCGGACGTAGTCGGTGGTGGCGTGGAGGCGGCGCGAGATGTCGCGGAGGAGATCCAAAGGGAGGTCCGCCCATGGCCGCCAGAGCGCGTCGTCCGGCAGAGCTGCTGCGGCAGGCATCACGAATCCGGGATCCCTCCCAACAAGGGCTGCATCGTGGTTGAGTTCTTCTTACATTATATCGAGTTCCTATTCCTAATGTCAAGGGCTGGGCTGGGCTGGGCTGCTCTGGGCCGTCAGGACACATCCCAAACTGTCAATGATTTGTCAGTAGCCGAGGCAAATAGCCCAATGGTGGCCACACTTGGACCAGCAGACGCTTGTTATAGGTGCAGTGCAATCTTTATCGCAAAATTTAAGTCCCTGTCTCAATACCACCTACAAATCACGGCTTCCTAGCTTAGCGGCGTTAGTGCACCTTCCTTGCTCCTCAGTGGATAGCACTTTCTTTTGATAAATTGGCAGGGACAACGCGCTAATCAAAAGAGGATTTTCAGTCCTCTGCTCTAACCAGCCAGAACCAAAAAGGAGGATGATTTCTTGCATCATAGGTGTTGCTGAGTCTTGAGTTCCTAATTGTCATGGTTTCGCAGCATCACAAAGAGCGATTGTGAGGAATCGACATTCTAATGAAAGAAGAATCAATGGAACTTTCCATCTTTTTCAGCTCTGCTCCCAAAACAAATGAGAAAGGAGACTGATCTTGATGTCGGCATTAGTTTTTCCAATGAAAAACAAGAACATTCGAACACGGACTTCAATGAAAAAACAAAATGCTAGTTGCTATTCCGCGTTTGTCCCATGGTCTTTGGCCAATGAGATTACTATACGCTTTTTCAGAGGAACTTGAAAAGTACATTCCATACCACCACTAGGTATCATGATATTCCCTCCCGGAAGGGTTCAGCACTTCTCCTGGTTAGCCATGCATAAGCGCTGTTGGACAGCTGCTCGACATCAGTGCCATGGATTGTAGGACTCCGATTCTTGCATTCTCTGTGATCAAACGCCCGAGGAGATCGATCACTTGCTGCTAAGCTGCGTCTTCAGTCGGACAGTTTGGGCAAAGGTGCTGAGTTCCATTGGAATAGGGAGCCTTGCACCACAGGACCATGTGTGGTTTTTGTCTTGTGGCTACTCTCTAGGAAGTCCATTCCGAAAGACTTCAGAAAGGGATTTGACTCGCTGGTAATGGTGGTTGGTTGGCTAGCTCTGGAAAGAACGCAATGAAAGAACTTTTAGGTGCGAGTCAATAACTGCGGACGCTCTAATTCAGGCCATCGTTGATGAATGCAGGCTATGGGATTCTACTGGGTTCAGGCACCTTCGTCGTTTGCTCCCGTGGTCACGAATATTTCTAGTTTCATAGTAATCTCTTGGAGCGTGTTTGTTTGCCTGGACGCGCCGTGTTTGTTTGCCTGGAGGGCATTTGGGCCTGGGCCACACGCTGCTTAAAGCAGCTGCGAGCCTGGCTCCCACAGAATGCCCCTCCCCTCCATTTCTCTTGGGCGCAGCCGAATTCAGGCACTCGCGGGCTCAATTTGGTGGTTGGCGGGCTGCTCCCTGCATCTCGCACGTGACGGCAGACATTTGCCCCCTCTCCGCGCCGCTAGGGTTTTGCCCTCCCTTATAAGCCGAGGCGCTGCTCTCCTCCCCCATCCACTCCGCTCTCCAATCCCTCTCGCTCTCCACTCTCCTCGGTTCGCTTGCATCCTTCTTCCCTCTCCGGCGGTGTGTGGTGGCGGTGGGGTCGTAGGCGGGCCTAGCGCGGCTCACATCGGCTCCTCCTCCTCTGTCTAGCCGGTGCAAGGGTGCGGGTCCCCGTCGCCGTCGTCTTCTTCCTCGGGACGACTTGCGGTGCTGGTTGCCGTGTTTGTTTGCCTAGATGTGGGCCTGTTGGTGTCGTTGCTTCGTCTTCCCCAAGCCGACGCCTCCTCCCTCCTTGGATCTGCTTCCTCCTCCCTAATCCGCCGGCTTCTTCCTCCTCTCCGTCCTCAAAGCAAGGTGAAATCTTGAAATGTTTGCCTTCACGGGACCCAATTTCGGTGGTCTGCGTGCTTATAGCGATGGATTTGTCTACACGGGACCCAATTTCGGCAGTCTACGTGCTCATAGCAATGGATGTGGCTACACGGGACCCAATTTCGGCGGTCTGCATGCTCATAGCGATGTGATGCTTTGATCTATTGATGGCTGGGTTCAGATCTGTTTGTTCTTGGTCCTAATCGATGATGTCTTCATGTTCTTGCCTGATTGCAATGACACATTTGTTCTACGGTTAATTGTTGAACATGATTTGAGATTGGGATTTACTTTAGCACGGATTATGTGGGTTTTTCATGGTCAATGATGTTGAGGTGGAACCTATGGGTGGCTGTGGTTTGCACATGCAGCCGAGGTGATGAAACCTTGTCCACCTTTTGTATTGTTTGTCTGAAATGTTACCATTTATAGGCCAGCAAGTCATGCCTAAAACTAAAATAAAATTGTCATTCTTGCATGTAGATGGAGTTCGAGCAGCAAAGATCTGCCATGGCTAAACAAGCTGCTGCCATGGTAGTTGTCATGGTTACCCTGGTTTCATCCAAACTGAAAAGGCGTAGAGAGGATGATGAGCCCATTTGTTATGGCCCTAGGTTAGAAGCAGATGAACATAGGGAGAAGAACATTTCTCTCATTTACAATTCTACTGATGCTGAGTGCATAGCCATGCTTAGGATGAGCATAGCACCATTTTTTTCACTCTGCAATTTGTTTAGGCAGAGGGGCTTGGTTCTGGACTCCATTAATGCTTCTGTGGAGGAACAAGTTGCCATGTTCCTTCATGTGGTTGGGCATAATCAAAGGTTTAGAGTTATGCACCAGAGCTTTAGGAGATCCATAGAGACAGTTAGCAGACACTTTCACCAAGTTCTTTTT